CTAATCATGTTGTATGCCTTTTTTCATATTATTTTTCTGCAAACATTTGATCTCTATTACTCAATGTCGTCTTGCTGATACTAGTCGGTTACCGGTTTCTTGAATACCATACGAAATTTTGCATTTGACGATCAGCAAGCATCATCGGTAACATTTATTTTGACAAATTCATAGCAATATCAACATTCCAACTTTCAACATTTCAAATGTTCATTGCAGTATAGCAGTTGCAGCAGCATCGAACTCACACACATTCATTTGTTCTCTGCTACGGGCGACAGTGTGACGTATTATTCGAGCTCTATTTGCTGTGATAATATTTCAATTTCAAATTGTTTGTTGTTATTTAAACTTAGTCGTGTCTCGCGCTTGCCTTCGAACGTGTTGAATTATTACAACCGAAAATAATTTCGAAATACGTACAACAAAATTCTTAAAGCGTGTTACGTTATTCAAAGCACTTAACAGTGGACGGACGACAATTGTGTGGTAGTAGCACCTATCTAAAATTAAAAAAAAAATAACAACAAATAACAACCGAATACCTTAAAACAATAATGCATCGTATTATAATTATTTACCCTTTTCAACAATAATAACAACAACAACAATGAGAATATTTTGAAAAAGGTATAGTGAAAGTGTTGACATGTGCGGCATAATTTGTCGATTGCGCCGCACCATATTAAAGTGAATCGTCGTGTTATTGTGCGTTCAAAATTTGACCTCAAATCGGATTATTTTCTTTTTTAAAAGCCTAATCGATTTCTTTGATCAGAAAATTTAAACGAAATTTCGTTGTTCAAAATGATTTGAATAAAAAAATTTGTGCATTATTTTGTATACCAAAGATTCCAAAAAATACATAAATAACAAAGGAATAATATTGAAAAAAGCTCGATTAAAAAGGTCACCTCTTACCTGGTACCTTTTTAGCAAAAATGTCAAAATTTGTAAATCAAATATGAAGCGAACGGATCCAAATCAGAAGAAGGGCCTTTACCCTATAGAAAAAAATATTTTTGTTTTAAATTCATACCTAAATATAGAACTTAAAAGGTATTTTTTTAAACCCATGGCTGCAGGTAGACCTTAGTGGAATTTAAACGTGGACTTTACAAGGGGCCAACAATTTTTGAAAATTGTCCGGTCAAGCCATATATATACATTAGGTTTTTTTTGCCATAACAAAATGTATTTTTTAACTTCAAAAATCTATATTTCCCTTTTTCTCAAATTTTTGTAACAACAAAAACCAAAAACATATAACCCGACAGCTTCAAAATGTATAAACCAGTCTTTGAAGTTCCGAGCTACCTAAAAATCATAAAGATTTAATTTTAGAGTCAAAAAAGTATTGGGACAGTGATTTCAATTATTAGTAACAGCTGATACTTCATACTACTACTATTACGAGGAAAGATGTAAAAATCTCCAACTATTCATATGTCCTCGGATTTCAATAAATCAAATTCATATAACAACTATACTGCAGAATTACTAAAGAATTAATTTTACTTTTATTTTTTCGCTGACCTTTAAATTTAAAAATAAATATTTATAAAAATAAACAAATTTTTTTTAAAATTCAACAAATCATGTGCGTGATTATATGGAATTTGTGTTTATTTTAGTTGTTGTATTTATATTTGTGACGTTATTTTCACAACCTGTTTCGTTGGTTTGACTCTTTGATTCTTCAATAAATAATAATAATAATAACAATGACAACAACAAAAACCTGTGTGTATGACATTCAAACACAAAATCAAATATTTTAGCAAAAAAAAAAAAAAAACAACAACAACAACAAAAACAAATAAGACATCTTAAAACCGGCAGTATTCTTAAACAAAAATACAATTTTATACCTAAATAAGGTAGTGGTGTTTTTCAGTGAGAGTTAAAAAACAACAACAACAAAACAACCAAAACATCAATAACTTCATCTCCATGAAATGAAATCATCAATAGACTCAAATCACCATTTTGGTTGGGTGTGAAATTTGAATTTGAACAAATTAAATAATTTAACAATGTTAATACTAAATCAGTTTCTTTTCGATAATATAAACGAGTTGACTAGTGCTGCATGTGTTGCATTTAATTAATTATAACAATTTTAAAAGTGTGAGATGGTGTCTTCTGGCATAAAAATGATGGATGGTTCGTATTGTTAATAAAAAAATGTGAATATACATTTATAACATTTATATATGACTGAGATTATTAAATGTATTATCAAACAGAGTGCATCTGAATGATCCAAATTTTATTAATTATAAATTAGTGGATAATTTCAACATCGTTCCAAACAGATTTGAAAAGTAACAAATATTTTACAAAATTAGTTTTTTTAGTCAACATAATTCCCTTCAAGGGTTAATTAGACTGACAAATAAATAATTAAATTGGATGGATTAAATAAGAAATGATATTGGTATTCAAATTGAAATAAACTATGCTCTCATTTAATTCGATTATTTTTAACCTACAATATTTTATATAAATAATGTTTAATTTTTGAAACTATTATCTACTACTACATATTGGCATATTTGTGTTTATTTTCAATACATTCATTGATTTCAACAAATTGGTAATATCTATTTGCTCATCTATTTATTTCTGTTTCGATATTTGTATATCCCCAGTAGCGTCTAATGTTGTTTGTCGTCAAATTTGTTATCCAGTCACGTATTTTGAAAATTGCAATAAAACAAATTTCGATTATATCTAGGTATAAATTGTTGTTGCATTCGCCGGTGTGGATAACCTTGAAAACTACAACTTACATCATCCTAGTGTGGGGATTAGCAAAGCTAGCTATTTGCAAATTTACGTCTCTGGATATTGAGCCATAGCCGCCCGACTGTCTTTCTCAATAAATACCGAACGAACTGTCAATATTTTCTGTTGATATTAATCTTAATAATATTCACAATTATTTTGTGTTAAAATCAAAAATTCAAATCGATGTTATCCGGTTTTGGGTGTGTGTGATACTCTTTATTAGAATTTGGTGTCACAGCTCAAATTAATTTTGTAAATAAAAAAAAAAATACTTAGAATATATATTTTTTATCGCTACTGAGTCGTGTGTAAACAAACTATGAAAGTATTGGCAAGGTTGTCATTCCAAAACGCTTGCCATTTTGTGCATTAGTCTTATGGCAAATAAAAAAACATATACCTCTGATTCATATGGGGACATACACACTCGTCGTATGTTGAGAAATATGAACAAAGACAACAACAACAACGGGGAATGCAATTTTAAATCGTTCATTATTAATTGAATTTAAATTATTCATATTTTGTTATTGTTATTACGATTCAATTTTTCTATTCTATGCCACAATTTCAAGATTGAGGTAAGCAATTTGTAAGAGGAACATCTTTGACATTGGGTTGATCACTCATGACATTTTTAATATACTTAAGCGAAAAAATCTGTTTACTCAAAATTTAAAATAAAATAGGTGTATTTGATTTTAATCTCAATTGTCGGATTTGAAATGTAAATTTCTTTACCAAGAACCTTGTCAGATTGATCAACTCTGTACGTGAAGTTGGGACACCTCCTAATCTGTTGTCTGTAGATAAATACTTTTTTCAAAAAAAATAACAAAAAACCAAAAACTTTCATACTGATAAACTGGTATCAGATATAATGTATGAATATTTTTCGATGTATTTTTTATAAAAATGTATTTTTTTTTTTTTTTTGGCTCAAATTCATATACTCTTTTCCTCCTTAATTCATATATGTTTCAAAGCAATAGCTTCTTATCATATCAACTGATATAATGTATGAATATTTTTCGATGTATCCCATAAAAATGTTTTTTTTTTTTTTTGCTCAAATTCATATACTTTTTTCCTCCTTAATTCATATATGTTTCAAAGCAATAGCTTCTTATCATATCAACTGAGGTATTGTGGTATCACTACGTCTCCATTTGAATACAGTTCCTACTCCAACTAAAAAACCTACAACACTGATGCAACACAGTCCTTTTATAATATGACACCTAAAAATCTGTACAGCTTTTTTGAGTAGAGTACAATTTTTCACAACGATCAAGGGAACACTAGCACTACTTAATATTCAGGTTATAAAATCGAATATTTTTCGTTTCCAACATATTAATACCCCAAAATCTTAAAATCTGTTTATATGTTTATTCTCACAAAATTATAAAATTTTAACAAATATAAAATAAATTCTCGACAAACCAGTTGCGGTTGATGATCATTTAATCATATCATTGAATTTATAAAAAGAAACACTATGAATCATTCATAGAATAGCTTTCTTGACACAAATTTTCAACAATTTACTTACTCACTCACTCGAAATCAGTTATTCACCCAAAAACCATTCACCAGCCAACCAACCAAAGTAATTCATTCTTTCATTGCTTATTTTAACTGTTGGGGAAATTACTCCTCGATCGCATATCTTAATGTCAAATTTCCTCTTCTCCAATGCCCTTTTTCTGATAAAAAAGCAAAATAATTTAATAATATTTTGGAAAGTAAAAAATACAACAACAACAATATACCCACCCAAATGTAGAGATTACAAATAACAGATAGTAGTAAAGCCACTGTCGGCAGCAAAACGTTTGGCTCAGCTTTTGTTATTCTTTCTTTTTTTCTTTTTTTATTTAATATTTACAAATTCTTTGTTTGCTGCGTTTGAATCGTTATTGTGGAAATGTGGAAAAGTAGTTCTAAACTGCTACTGTTACAATGTGTTGAGTTCTAATTGTTGAAATAAATAAAAAAAAAAAACCAAAAAGGAAATCAAACGACAATAAATTTGAATTCAAATTTACATAGTTATACTTGTATTATATGCCTGCTATTTGCCCACACTTCAACATTTATGGCTTAATAAAGTAGTTGAATTTAAAAGAAAGTTTGAAATATCAAATCAAAAAGTATTAACTAACATAATCTACATTTATGTTTTTGTTTCTTTGCTTTTACAGTTTCGCCTTTAAATGACACACAACAAACGCAACCTCAACAAAGCCACAGGACTGCCAAATCATCAAATCTTACGGCGACGACAACCTCCACCACCATAACCAATAATTTGGGTACGGCCGCCGCCACAACCACCCATACCGGATCATCGACATCAACGGTTAAAACTCTTATCAAAAAGTCTGGCAGTTCTTCATCGACTCAGTCGTCGAACCGCAAGGATAGTTTTGGTTCGCGTGATTCCCTTAACGATATTCTATCAGAGACCGGTTTACCCACCGGCAATGTAGCAGCCCAACGTAAATCGCTGGAGAATAAAAACTTAGATTTGACCAATACATCCGATGTTGCGACACGTTTGGCACTTAAAAAACAACAAATGCATGCCCAGCAACAACAACAACACCAGGAAGCAAAGGTAGTTACCGCGTCATCGTCGATTAACAGCAGCCACAGTACCAATACGAATACCACCATAACTACCTCGTCAATGGGAGGCGCCACCACCACAAGTGAGCTACGCAAAAGTATGGAGAATATGGACGAAAAATCAACAAAGACCACACCGCCGCCAGTTGTAAATAAGAAACCAACGTTACCCGTTAAGAAGACCACAACTGTGACAAGCATCACAGGTGAGTAAATATTCTAGAGAAGTGTTTTTTTTTTCTTCTAATAGTGTTTTCTTTTTTATGTATCTAGATAGGAAAATTGTATTGATGTTAGCATTGAAATTGAAATCAAAGAATCGAATGTTGACTGTACTCAAGTTTCTTATTAGTAATAAAGGGTTTTGCAATTTGGGCTTCAAATGGTCTATCGACTTTATTTATTGCGTCGGCTTTATCTTGTAAGAGTGTAAACCAAGAACCTTACGCCAAATTCGGCATAGCGTGGTGCAGGCACCTCCGGGATGGGCTCACTGGCTGATCGCACCTCTAAATTGTTCAGCGAAGACATCAAGACTACCAATCTTGGCGATGCCATATTCTTGAGAAGCGCCATGGAATTTACTAATTCGAACGTTTACTACGGACGCCTGAACGGCATTGTAGCTTGGCGAGAATTTCATTCAAACTAATTTCGGCCACAAACTCTGGAATTTTGTAGTATTTTTTATACTAATAATGAAATGACAGTCCGTGTACTTTATCACAACAAAAAGGCTGCGTTTTCTGAATAAATTTGCAGTGACATATCGACAATTAGTGCAATCTAAAATTAATTTCAAATTTGTCAAGTCCATTTTGACAATGCATTCTATTGATGTAATATCTTCAAAGGTCTGATATAAATACCTTCTAATTGTAATTATGCCATGGGTATTGTTTAGAGTCAGGAGTAATTCTAATTAATTTTTTTAAATACATACCACTTCCCACGTTAAACGACAATAGCATTGATAATTAAGGAATTCACTCTTCCACCAACATCAAATTCGCAAATACAGTCTGCTTTGGAGATTTGTTGAGCATCTGACTCTCAGTCTATAGATTTAAAGGCAGAAATTCTGTTTAGATTCCAATATTTTAAAAGAGATTTTTAATAATACATTCTCCACAATATTCTATATTTATTCATGTATATTCAATACAACTTTCTTTCTCTTCTCATTCCAGGCAACATTTTATCGGGCATTAAACAAAAAGTCAAAAGTGTTGAAAATAAATTAACAACAGCAGCATCACATGACTATGCCGACGGTATTGGCAGCAGTAAATTATCCCCAAGCGCTGTGGCCTCCGACAACAGCGGTGTGGTTATGCGAAGAGCAGCCACTATTGCTGCCGATTCGGACTTTGATCGCGTTGAACGCGGTTCAATCTTAACCGATATGCGCGCTGGACGCGTTAAGGCGCCAAAACGTAGACCACCCTCGGCAGCCATTAGCACAATGGGCGAAAGCAATAACAACTCGCTGTATGTCAACGGTAATGGTAGTGATACTACACAAAGTGATGATCAGCTCAAATCCGATGACAATTCAACGGGAGAAGAGCAATTGGCCAAACCAAAACCTCGCGAATGGGAAAAGAAAAAGGCACCCTGGATGGAAGAACTGAAAGCATCACAAGTGAAAAAGAAAACATCACCGAATGTTGATGGTGCAGGCACCTCCGGGATGGGCTCACTGGCTGATCGCACCTCTAAATTGTTCAGCGAAGACATCAAGACTACCAATCAAACAGTATCGAGTACAAACTCCACATTGACGGCTACGTCCTCATCAACAAAAGTGCAATCCTCATCGGTTTCCAGTACTAGTATAATGCAACAATCCATGGTAGTGGAGAGCAGTAGTAGTAGCTCCAGCAGCAATGTAACCAGTAAAACACTCACCGATGCCATGACTAAGAGTTTAAGTGCTAAAATGGCAAGTGATGCAGCCGCTGCACTGGCTGCAGCATCTGCCACAAATAATAATGCCTCCACCACCACCAGCTCAACCTCTAACACACTCCTGGAAGATGTCAGAATTCGACCAAACAGTTTGTCGATACGTAATCGCAGTGCATCACCTTCAATGGGTGGAGCAACTCGAAATGTTTTGAAAACGACCAATACCACCTCTGCTTCTCCCGCCGCCGAAGCGACTAGCAGCAATGCGCACCACAGCAATTCACATGCATCATCATCTGTTGCCAAAACCACCTCCTCCTCTACCACCACAACCTCCGCCGCTGACGCTCCCACCGTTATTAACAATCACCATCCTAATGCACATCATCACCAACTGGACAATGGTCACACCACCACCAGCTCCAAACAGCAGCAAGTCGTCGATGGCAAACGTGTATGCGATTTGGAAGCCCGTGTAGAGAAGTTGGAACTGTTGGTTCATGCTCAACAGCGTACAATTGACGAACTTGTACGAACATTGCGCGAAGAGAGTGATCGCAATAAAGTTCTTCGTGCTGAATTGGATAAATATGCACAGTGCGTGACACAAGTTTAAAAAAAGAAAGCATTCCCTTGCAATGTGTTTTTGTTTCTTGTTTAGAGAGAATTATGTATGACATTTGTTTAGTATGTGTATATGTGCGTGTTATATATATGAATGATTTATTTGTGCAGTAGCTATATTGGTTTGTCCTCATGTCATACTCCTTTTTTTGACTAAGCGCCAGTCTAGAACATAAGCATTAACATCCCCTGCCAATGCATATGCTCACGTGTTTCCCCTCCGACTTTTTTTCATTCTTTTGTTCATAGTCTAAGGACAACGAAAATTATTTCACCTTGCAAGTGGCATTATTTTAAGCCTATTAAGATATACATCGAGTGATTATTAAATGCTCGTTTTCAATAGTATTTTGTTAATATATATAGTATATACGAACACATCCCGATACCTACAAATATACATATATGTATTTTTTAAATAATGTTCTTCTTAAATATATTGATATTTCTTTTTTATTAATGAAATAACCTTTTATAAATTATTATGTTTATTATCGTAATTAAATATAAGTACTAAATGTGGATAAAAATACGTATTCCTTTATGTATGCATTCCATTCAAAAGTTTCGCATTAGCTAATTATTAGGATATTATTCTCTTTCCAACATATTATCATATAGATCGTTGCACGTTATTGATGTGAAAACGACATTGATTCCCTACAGAGGATAATAGGAGAGGGAGTAATATCATATTGAAACAATTTTTTTTTTTAAAGATAACATATTATCTTTCTAAAGAACGATCTAAAAACATTTTAAATTTGTGGGCATTAAAAGTCTATACTTAAAACTAGTGATTTGTTCTATGAAAATATTTTCATTGTGTCCATATAACGTAAAAATATATTGCAATTTACAACATATTAAGATGTTGTAATTTGCTTCTGTATGCCCAAAACTATTAGAACTTCAATTTGAAAATCCACTTTGTAGCTTATATTTAATACGACAATAAAACGGTATTTCCAACTATTACCGCAATACATGCGAGTGCATGAACACATATACATACATATATAACTTATATACCCTGCTTTTAATATACATATTCCAAATACTATACATTACCTTATATACAATTATTTGTTGTAAGTTTTTTTAATGTGTTGTTTTTATTTTATTTTAAACAAATTTCGATAACCCAACACTGCTATTATGGCTTTTCTTTTTGTTAAATTAATATATTGCATGTCTTATTATTATATTTTTATATAGAAATAATGTCTTTATACAATTAAAGGATTTGAAATCCATTGTAATATTTAAATAATTCAAATCAAATATATATATATACCAAGACATTCCCCCTTTGAAAAAAAAAATGTTTTTATTTTTGGGTTCTTTAGTGTATTTTGAAAATTTATATTTTATTTTCAGTAGTTAATACAAATGAAGTGGAAATTATTAACGAGCTAATGATTATTCGATTCAATCTATAATCTGTGCACGCATTTTTCCATAACAAGTAGCACTGCACTGTACCATCATTGAACGATATGATGAATCGCATTCATTTTTTAACTACGATTTTTGAGTATTGTAGTTTCAACATACCTTTTGGGATGGCGTCAAGGTCAGATGTTGTATGAGGCCGAAATACTTTTACATTTCGCTAGTACTCTATTAAAGAGGTTTTGTAAAAACGCATTCTATTCCAATCCCGATTGCAGTGTAGAAAACCCTTCGATTACATTCATTTGTTGTAACTCTTCAGGAAAGAACTTTCGACAGCAGTAAACTGTTTCAAGAAGCATTTACACCCAATGCATGCAGGCATTCTTACGTAAATAAGCATTTATTTGCCTGTCCAGTTCCAATCAATAGAAGTACGGTTAAGAATTACTAAATATTTCTGTCTGAAATGTACTTTAATTTTGATTTATATGAATTTGTTGGTATTGGGTTTGACCGAAATTTTGTAATTATTGCTCTTGTACATTTAAAGTCTGAAGGTGCCATGGAAACCATAATTTAATAAAAACTTTTTGTTTGGGTGTTGTTATCAATGCCAGTTAAGTGACTGTTGCCAGCAATGGTATACAGCCTTATTCTGGACATCAATTCACCGTTAATTTGTTCGCTCTTCCCTTTGAAGTTATTCATAACCAGAATTCGCAGCGAATTTTGTCCCCATTTTCACTTTCCCCTTATTCTGAATCAAATTCGAAAGCGAAAAAATTTGATTTGAGGAAAAGTTAGTTATTATGAAAGTGATGACATTTTGTGCGAAATTGTTCGCTAATAACGATTTTGAATATTTAAATGGCGATTTTGAATATATAAATGGTTGTATGCGTGTTATTAACAGAAACAACAAATAAAATGCCGTTGGATATCCTATTGATAACGACTCAACCAAATATTGCCACGGAATGTATAAAGGCAGTAAGAAATATTTATAACAAGTTTTATGCAATTTGGAGGCGAAATGAAGACATTTTGTACGAGGATCTGTCTCTTCAGAAAAAATACTAAAAATTATGGAAAACCCACATAGCCAAATTTACCTGATGGGCCGCTTAATAGTGAAAAACTAAAATACAAATTATGAAAGAAAAAAAAAATACAAAAGAAATATTGTTTCTTTCAAATTTATCGTGTATTATTCTTAATATTGCACATTTATATTGTTATAAAGTTAAAAAAAAAAAACAATAAATAAAATATTGTAAAATATTACAAAATTAAATTACAATGTGGCAACACACATTACAACTTAAATTACAATATGGCATCACAAATATTTTTTCAACCATCATTTTGTAAAATCCGAATCCGCATCGAACATTGTTAGCTTCTCCCTATTCATCCAGAATAAGACGAGAATGTGAAAGCACAAGCGAGATCTCTCCCTAGCGAATATCCAAAATAAGGCTGATAGTCTCCCTAACATCGTAAGAACATGACAACTAGGTATAACATTGTTTTAGGCGCACGGAGTTCACTAAAGCTCTCTTCAAGTAAAAATAAATTCTTATCATCTGTAGCTATTTTATAAGCTATGTCAAATCAAATAAGCAAAGATCTTCTGAGCCATTTTTATATTTTGTGAGAAATTAATAATTCGAACCAAACATGTATTCTTCTTAATACTAATAAATTGTTGTAAGCGGAGATCACATAAGAAAAATATGTGTTCTCTTTTAAGTCTTCACGATGATACAAAATTCCTTTTTTATTAAAGAAAACCATTATTATTTTTAGAAGATTGTATTGGCTGCAGCTGCATCTCTGATGATTTATCCGCTGAGTCCAATTTGATTGATAAATCAAACCTTTATTAATGAATTTGCATTTGTTGAATCCAAGTTTCTCCCAAAATTATGTACTCGATGCCTTATGAATTGTATTTCTGCACCGTATGCATGATTTATTAAAATGTATCCTGAATCCAATTTTTAAATTAATTGGATGTGTGGTTATTTATTATTATTATTAAATTACTTTTATTTTATTTGCAATAAATAAATATTTGAATAAATAAATTTTATTTTAATAAATTAATTAAAAATATTTTTATTGTTATTTTAATAATGATATAATATCATATGTATTTAATTATTATGTATTATAAATTAAAACTGTATACATATAAACTATAAATAAACTTATATTTTATTCATATACGTAAATTAAAATACAATAAAATAAATAACATATTTTAAAAATTAATATATGTTTTATTTTTCTTTTCTATATACATTCCCTTTGTTTTTCCTCCTCAAATTTTCGAACTTATCTAATACAAGAATATCTGTGTTTTCTTCTATTTTAAATATTATGCTTACAAAATTCGCGCTTGCATCGCCTTGGCTTTTCACGTACTACTACCACTACTACAAATATTACATAAACAGGAAACCAACACGACGTGGCAAATTTGACAATTGGATGTTCTAGGAAGATTTTTCATCGAAGTCTCACATTTGATATAGACTCAATAATTAAAATAAAAATAATGGAAACTCAAAAACAATAGGACTTTTCGAAATGTGTATTGTTCAATTATTATGATTATATTACAAAATATTTAATTTTTATGCTTAAATGGCTTTAATTAAAATAATTATGTATTTTAGTAAATACACAATATATATACATATATTTGTAGTTATGATAATCTATATACATTTATATATATACATACACATAACAAATACAATACTCGTACCAATCTATGTGATATTCAGTTATCAATTTTTAATTATTTATTTTATAAATGAAAAAGTCAAACAAAACAAAAACAAAACAATTTAACACTAACACCACTCTTACAAACACAAAGAAACAAAATCAGCAATTAGATAAATGTTAAAAAGTATATATATATATATATTCATATAATTTTGAATAAACTTAAAATAAAAGAAGGAAACAAATAATAATTGGTTGTAAATATAGGAAATACAACATAAAAGATATATACAATAAAATAATAATGTTTCAAGCATTTTTATTCAAACATGATATTAAAGAAAGTAATAAAAATTTAATTTTCATCTAAAAAAATATATTACATTTTTAGAAACCGTATTTATTGTCCAAACTACAAAAAGGCGTAAGTTATTCAAATGACTGCAACTATTTGGTTTTATAAGATACATTGTGGCACATTTTAAATATGATTATGATTAAAAAATGAAATTCATAAGAATATGAAAAGGTACCGATCAGTTTGGGTCTGAAAAATTACTTTATTCTGTAGAAACCCCATTCAACACAAGCTGAGTTTATTGCATTATTTCATAGCATACTTTTAGGAAACTACAAAAAGATATAATTGCTTTGACAATAGCTCTGTCTGTTTACTCGATATTTGGTAACAATTGTTACCAAATGTTACTAAATGTTGTCTGTTTACCCAAAAATCCAGTAAAAGAGAGTAAAGTGAGAGAGCAAGTTTGACAGTTAAACAACAACAAACTTACTGGAGTTTACTGAATGAATTTTATGCAGTAAGTTTTTGCAAACTCAGCCATTTTTGGATCAG